ATTATTATCATTAATATAGTCATAATGTTATCATGTTGTTGTTGTTGTTGTTGCTGTTGTTTTTATAGTTGATGCTGTTGTTGTTGCTATTGTTGTTGCTGCTGTTGTTGTTGTTATTGCTGCTGTAGTTGTTTTTGTTACCAGTACACATTAGTAAAATGTGTTAATTAATGAGCGACAGGAAACTTCAATGCTACAGCATTGTCGTTTTAACGCTGGGACCATTATCTTCTCGTCGTTGTCGCTGTTTGTTCACAAAACCCAGTCTTTTTTGTTACGGGAAAAGTGTTATTTGTCTGGCTTTTATCAATAAAATAGTCTGAACTAGATTCATTCACTCCACAGTCCCGTCATTTACTAAATCATAATTCGTAATCCTGTCATCGCGATCTACATTCACGCTGTGTCTTTTCACTGGACTCCTATTTCCATAATAATGGCTTTTTGCAACAACACCCATATGACAATTGCATTTTCGCTCCAACATTTTATTTTACAAAAAGAGAAACATTTTGCGACTCTGTTCTCAATTGTTCTGGATTTTCCCCCCTCACAGCCAAGCGCAGCAGACAACAACATGATTTATCTCGGCACCATCAGTTGGGCTTGTGTTACATTAAATTTACAGTGAGCAACGGAGCAGACTCTTATCTCGATGTTTGTCGAATTATCCTAGTGCAAAAATCAGGAAACATGACGATGTCAGTCGAATGAATGAAGCTTGTATTATGACAGTTGTTGCGTCGTAATTTTGCTAACACGCCCGTGCAAAGCCGGACTTCTAGGGTGGCTGACCTTTGCTTCTGTTCCAATTGCCAATGTTTATCTTGGCCAGTGGTATTACTTAGCGGGATTAGATATGGCAGTTTCGACAATCAAGTACAAGTTACACGCTTTGTCTAAATCGGATGACAACAAAATTTATTGAGCAGATTGATGGAAAGTTACTTGTTTTGTTCGAATCTGGTGATCACGAGATATATAGAATAAACAAGTGGAAATGCAATCCCGCCGACAAGTAAAATCAATTCAAAAATTAATTTTTCGTTTCATGAACAAAGTGTCTGCTGGTTCGGTTACTTAAAGTTATGAAACTTTGTCTGCGATGAATAAAGCTTTACGAAGTGAGGTTTTGTTAAACCGCTTCACGCGTACTGCGAATAAATGGGTTGTTTGTTGGCTTTGTTTTACTTTGGTTTTTTAAAGGGTGGGTGGTTGCAGTCACGTTAACGCCCTATTACACCCAACTAAAGTTATTTCCAATACAGAACACACCTGACAGAAGAGTATTTCTAAAAGGAGATAATAACTTTGGACTCTACGTAGGATCGAAATAGAAATCTTTGTGCTTTTTAAAATTGTCTGCAAACTGTACAATGGTGGGGACACTGAATATAATTAAACATGATGTACAAAAAAACAGGTTCTCTATAGATGTATTTAACAAATCACCTGTAGATCAACGCTCAACATTCATTGTGTCTGTTTGTCAAACCCCAAACCCCATGCACCTCCCTCATTGTCGTTATTGCGTAGTTGGTTCCAAGGACTCTTTCCTCCTCTAAACAGGAGTTGGACATCTTCATAGAAAGGTCATTTTTCGAAAAGGTGACTACTCTGTACAAAACTGTACCGTTGAAAACTTCAAGCAAAATCATAATTGCTGTAGTTCGTTTATAAAGTGACGTCATGGCGGAAAAGTCACAAACGCTTTCTATGTCACTAGTTCCCTAAATCATGATCTAAAGGCTATTGATATGGGCCACAAACATTTATAATAATGAGTACAGGTCCTAATTCTCTTTATTCTAAAGGCCATGATATGTAAATAAATGTTATGTCCTCTTAGCGTAGGGCCTTTATATTGACGATGGCATTTGAAGGGTTTGCGTAGGTCGTGAGAAGTAAAAATGAATTGAAACAAAACAATCTAAACTCACTATCTTTAAGAGTTCAGTGCTGCTGTCATTTTCAGCGTTGAGGTACATCCGTGCGTTATCTGTTTTCAACTAAACTCCATCTTTCTTTGCTGCCCCTTTCGTTGTATGGACAAAGTATTCCGTACCGTACTTTCAGCTTACTGCACCACTGCCCTACAAGAAC